CTTTTCGCAATAGATATTCGTATGGTAGCCTCAGAAAGTTTGTAACTTTTTTTTAAATCCAGATTAGCGGATTGAACATTTAGATAAATTAGTAAGAAAAAAAGGGTGTTTATTTCACAATACAATAATAATGTGTTAAATTTTACGTTTTCTGTGTAATAGTAACAGATTTTTAGAGGTTACATGTTCGACCATTTTGACCCGGTTTACTATAACCCGGATCTAAACTTTATCAATTTCATTACCTTCCGAATTACCACCTCCTTTGTTAATTATCTCAACGTAATTTGAGGGAAACATTCCTTGTTCACCACTCCTTAAGCGACCTCGCCACCATTGAGATGGTTGACCAAACATATCATTTTTATTCAGAATTGCAATGATATCACCCCGTTTCAGGTTCAATTCCATTGAAGATTCACCCTTAAAATCATAAAGAGCTCTACAAAATTCGAGATTCTGAGCAAATCCAGGAGCTAGTTGTCCTGGAACAGTTATTTGTGAGCTATGTTGTTGTTGATTATGATTGATTTCATGTCGTCGTTGTGATATAACTTGGATAAATTTATGCATTAAATATGGAACGCCAAAGACAGCAAGGATAAAGAAGATTAAGGGACGGCGAGAAAACTTTCTTTTTTGAAAATGTTCAAATTGCGCAGGACTCAATTCTTGAGGATCTACGGGTGGTTTTCTACCCGTTACTTTGTAAAATAAATGTCGTATCCAACGTATCAATGTGAAGATACTCAAAACTTGGCCTAAATAATTTCGTAAATTTCCAAATTGTTCCACAACACCGACCATGGCCATAAATGAAGAATGAGTGGCAAAATAAGTAGATTCCAGCATTTGAGCAAAACCACCGAAAGCATTCACTATTGATTCAATCATATGAAATCCAGCGGCAGTATTTGCTTCCATTCTTTGAGTTAATGACATATCATCAGGACCATTTGGACCATTTGGACCATTGGGACCCATCATTCCTCCATACGTATTAAAGCGATTAAAAGGACTGTAAGAAGAATAGGAACCACCACCATATCCACCATATGAGCCGTAACCATAACGGTTATTATATGGAGAATATGAAGAATAAGATCCATAACGGCTATAAGGAGATCCATAAGTACTGCCATAGGAACTATAACCAGAGTATGGGGTATTATAACTCGTGGAGTAAGAATTATAACCTTGAGAACACGTTAAATGGGATATAGTTAATAAAAATGAAGAGTTCTAAGCAGAAAACGATGGAGTATAATTTAAACCTCTCGTAAAATTTGAACCAGTTGTTGAAGGTCTTGCGGGAAGAGCAGGAGCTGTTTCGGAAGTAGGACTTTGTATAATGGACGGACTTGTCCATGGTAATTGTGTAGTAACAGTAGGTTTTGTAGCAGTGGCTTTCTCCCATGGTTTTGGTGGTGAAGAAGGCATTATAGAATTCCGATAAATGGTGGATAGCAGTTAAAATTTTAAAAAGCCAATAAAAAAGATCATATTACATTATGCACGTGACCACAATCCATTACTTAATAATCTTAGTAATCCTGATCTTTGGATCAGTTAATAAAATTTTATATATAATAAATAAGCTACGTATTAGTTAAAGTCGTTTAGGTACGTAGTCGCTTAGGTACATTTATTTTTTAGAGATTAGATTAACTTTAAATTTTTCCTTTACTCATAAATACTATACGTGTAGTATATACGTACGTACAATAATTTATACGTATAAAATTTGTTATAAATTACTATACAGTATAAATAATTCACACTGTATTAGGGTAATACGTATAGTGTAGGGTTGCAATACATATTAAAAATCTACTATGTAAAAAACCTCCACAAGTAAATATAGTAAAAATATTTTTTTGTTTCTCGTAAAAGTTAAATTTTTGATTTGTTTTTTTATTTTTTTTTTTATTTTTTTTTTTTATTTTTTTTTTTGAATGAGCTATTTTTTTCTGTCTTAAGCCTAATTAACCATTACTTTAAAGTGCATTAACGCCAATCAAA